CAAAAAAGTACTCCAGAGTGTTGTTCAGCATGGGGGTGAGTAGAAAATGAAGGCTAATCATGTTTTGGGTGTACTATTCCTTTAAAGTGGCAGTCACATTTTATTTTTCACTAGGCAACTTGACTTTATTTTTGTTAAAAATTGCCAACAAATTTTTAGTTTTTTTCCCCAAAAATAAGACACGGCACATCCACAAAGAAGTCTTAATTTTCCTGTTCAAATTTTCGTATTAATTTAAGGAAGTAAAAGAAGGCTGAGATTTCTGTTTCCAAGCAGAACAATTTCAAGCCCGGGCTTGGTTTTAGTCCAGCATAAGATGTTACGTACCATTCAAAGGCAGAGGCACATCTCCACCCTGATGTGGGAATGTGTAGCGTCCTAAAGAACAAAATAAACCATTAAAACCCCCCCAAAACAAATAAAACCTTTAGAATCTATAGTCAGAGGGTTTAGGGTTTAGCTCACAGCGACATACTCAAAACAACCATTATAATAACAAAAACAAATAAGCACAGGGAATGGTTTATGGGTAACATTCTGAATTTATACTTTTAAAAAGCTCAATATAGAACAACAATATAGTTTAACAATAGAAACATGTTAAAAAAAAAAGCATATTTCATTCACTTTAAATCAAATCAACTTCAAAAATGTTGTTAATTTTGTCAAGTTTAGTTTACTTTGATTTTTTTGGGTGAATAATTATCAAGACATTTTTTTTTTTATTTAATAACGTTTTTAGAAAGAATTTAATGCCAACTTAAATTATATCTGAGCTATTAGGACGTTCTAGTAAAACAGATGAATATTAACGGTGTAGTGGAGGATGTTTTTTTTCAGGGTGGATCATCTAAATAAGTGGTCCTCCTAATTGTCAGTCGTTCTGCTGATATGTTTACGTAAGGCCGTCCTACGTGTTCGTCCACATTTTCACTTCCCGGTGGCGAGTTCGACAGCGGAAAAATTGCATATATTCTTTTGGATAGTAAACTTGTAGGAGCGATGCAAACAGCAACTTTTAAACAGAGCATGCAGCCTTTTATTATGTATGCTGAGGGTTTGCCCTTTACATGAGTGAAGAGGTATACAAAATACTTAACGTAATGATATTGTGAAAGGGTACAGCAGCCTGTTGGTATCTAAGATATAAATGTGTAAGGGTATGTGTACATAAAACTATGTATGCTTTTATTTAGATTAATGCATGCACCATATGCATATTGTCTATTTAGATTTGCATTTCAGTGTTTGTAGATATATCTTCAGATAATAAGTGGGGTATTTTTTAGATCTTCCTTTATCATTTTGTTCTTTTTCTTTTTAGTTGGTTTTGTCCAAATTTTCTGTGTATATTGAGCTTACATAGCATAACATGCCACAGGTTAGCATAGCCACAAATACTTTCAATATGTGTATAAATCCCTGATCCATACTGTCTGTTTTGTAACTGTTTAATTTAAACTCCTTAAATAAAAGTCTTTTTTTTTTTAAAAAAAAAAAAAAAAAAAAAAAAAAGTGCACCAGGAGAAGTGGGCTCGTGCACACTATTGTTTTTTTTCTTTTGGAGTGGAGTAGAGTAAAGTGGAGAGGGCGGGTCTTTTCAAAAATATTCCACTATACCTTTCTACTAAATCTGAAACCACAAAAGCAAGTTGGAAGCAAAGTCTATTTAATGCATTTAACAATATAGTTTGTGAAATGGACGATCTCTCTCCATCCTTTTCTAATGTTTAATTTTGAGTAAAGATTCCTTGATATCTTTTCTGCAATTTTTAGCAATGTCATCAGTAGGGGTGTAAATAATAATCGTTTTGTATCGATGCGTCGATCCAACAGCCGACGATCCGATACATCGACACGTCCGCAAGAGAATCGATTCATGTTTTTTTTCCTCCGGTCTATTTTTATCCATTTGCTCCTGGGTGTAATTCTCCCTCCCGTGCTGCGGTGGC